CTGGAGACTCCGTCCGTAAATGAAGGAGGTCGGGGTCGCTGAAGCCGAGCACGACCAATCTGGCCTTGCCCCTGAGCACGTTGCCCTTGTCATCCTTCTTCCAGGTCAGCACGAAATTGCAGCGCAACAAACGCGCTGGGTCGATCCCCTGTCGACTGAGGATCCTGACGGCCTTCGTGCTGAGGACGGAGGTGCACTCCTTCTGCTGCGCCTCGAGTAGCAGCTTCTTCTCCTCTGGCGTCGCCTTCTTGAATGAGACTTCGACTCGGCCCTTCCGGGCCTGCGATGCCACGAAGCTGTTGGGGTCGCCCATGTAAGCCATGAGCGCGTGCTCGTTGTTGACAGGGATGTCCAGCACGATGAGCTCGTCGTCCTCCTTGACCTCGTCATGCGGCTGGACGCTGTAGGCGTAGCCCCCGTAGAAGTTACCCTCCTGCAGGTAGTAGGAGTAGTCCTCCTGGGTCGCCAAGTTGATCCGCTGCTTCCTGATCGGGGGGCCCGTAGATCCTGGCGATTGTAGCCGACGCTTGGCATTGTCGTTCGGCGCCGCCGTCTCGCCCAACTCATCGTCAGCGTCCGCGGCCGGGGGTTGCTGAGCCGCGGGAGGTGCTTGATCGTCATCTGGAGGAGCCTCCATGATGATTTCATCTTCTGCAGTCGGTTCGGCTTCGGCTGGCTGCCCAGCTTCGTGGTCTTCAGTCTGTGGAATACCTGGTGGAGCTTCTGGCGGTGCTGGCTGGATGAGAGGTTCCTGGGCCTCGGTAGCCATATCCCAGGGATTGCACTTCCTCCGTAGTCGCCTTGGCGGTCGCGGGCCTGGGAGCGGTCGTTCCTCGAGGCCGGGCGGGGCTGATGGGGCTCCACCGCCCCCGCCGCCGCCTGGGTCCAAGCTCCGAGAATCTCCTCGTGGAACAGGTAGGTCCTCGTCTTCAGGGATGGCCCCGGGTCCGCTTGCGTTATTCTCGAAGGCGCGGGGGCTGACCGACTCTCCGTCGTCGGCGGCCAGGTCCTCACCAGTGGGTGGGGACTCGTTCGACAGGTCGATCACCTCGTTCGCGTCGAGCTGCTTCTGGACGTCGCCGAAGATCCCTGTTGCAGGCTGCTCGCGACGCGAGCGCAGCGGCGCCATCGCCTCCTGGGAAGGCATGTCGGGCCGAAGTTGTTCGGGGGCAACTCGGTAGAGTCGCCCAGCTAGCGCGATGTTGACCACCGTCCCGGGCAGACCAAGTCGATGTCCTGAGCCGGCAGGCTCATGGCAGAGCACTCGCCCAGGTCCGTACCAGCGGCCTCGCCCTGGCATGGATCGGGATTGTCCTTTCTTGCGCCAGGCTCCTGGCGGGAGCCGCCGGCAAACGAATACCAGGTCGCCCGTCTCGCACTTCCTGAACGATCTGAATCTTGCGGCCTCCGCACGCTTGACAAGGTCGGAGTGCCATCCGTCGTACTTGAGCGTCCCTGCTGAAGGTGCCATCCTGCAGCTCGGCGCTGATGAGTGGCAGGTTGGTCGGCTCGTCGAAGAGGTTGACCGCGGTGCCGGTGGGTGTCTGTCCCGCATAGCGCTGCAGCGGACTGAAACCGTCGATCCTGATCAGGTCGTTCCTGGCTGCTGTCTGTAGTCCGAACATCTCGCTCGTGGGAACTTCAGCTGAGATCATCTCGTCGAAGGCGTCAAGGGCCTCCTTGAACGCTTCGATGGCTCGTTCGATCTTGCCGATCTGCCAGTGGGCGTCGGCAGCGCATGGGAGGCAGTAGACTCCCTGGCTCTCGATCCACTCGCGGAACTCGTCGAAGATGGCGCTCCCGGCTGGATCATAGCGCATGACCTTCGGCCGCCCCATCCAACGGAACCACTTCGTAGCAAAGATGTGTCGAAGGTCGCCCGCACGAACTTGTCGGCATGTCCCTGGGATCGCTTTCTTGTCGATAAGCCGCACGTAGAGTATGTCCGAGCCAGTGTCGAGGATCGCTAGCGCCATCACATTGGCGTTCGTGCTGCGACGGATCCAGGAAAAGGCGTCGAACAAAACTTCGTGGCCATTCTGAGGCTGCTCTGCTGAGGAAGCTGGTGGCCGCTTCGTCGGTGGTCGGCGAGCATCACAGATGTCGCACTTGAAGGTTCTGGCCAACCGTAGCACCTCAGGTCTCGCACCTCGGTCTCGTAGGTAGCGTCGAAGATGTGCTCGAGGTAAATGTCCCAGGTTGGTGTGAACCAGCCTGATGTAGCTCTCGAGCTTCTTGACTGTGTCGCTGGTGAGGTCGTGTGACTCCTTGCCATCTAGTGGTGGAATGGATGTTTCGTCCTCCTCTGGAGTCGGCTCAGTAGGTGGCTGCTGGGTAGCGGCCATACAGAAATGCACGACCTCTTCTTCGAAGTCATTATGATTATGGCTCTGGCTCTTGGTCAGAGCTCGGAGGATCCGGCGGCACAGCATCTTGGGATAGGAGCCCGAGGCCTCGGTCCTCAGATTGCTCTCGATCTCCTCATGATAGTGTCCTCCACGGCATTGTAGCGGCTGGAGGGCCACCCAGATCCTCTTGTCGTTCGTGAGGAACTGCCATCGCTTCTTCATGAGCTCGCCTGTGTCAGGGGCTTTGAGTCCGCAGGCGCAGCCGTCTACGATCACCTCGTAGGGGAGAATATTGTGCAGGTCCTTCCAGCAGGTCTTCTGCCACGAACGACTGTTGCGTGGCTGCTCGGCGAGGACCGAGCCATTCAGGTGAAGCGCCTGATGCTCGATGGGCCTCTTGTTGTTCTCGAAGATCCGCCGGCTCTTGAGTCGCTTCTTGCGCATGTTATGTTTCTGCTTGTCGTCGCGCTGGTTGATATTCTGCATAATCGACCACGGCCCGCAGGGAGGTGTGCTGACGAGGAGCTCCGGGCGCTTCTCGTCCAGCAGGAACTTCGCCTTGTGGTAGCCCTGCGGCTTGCTGAGGCCGCAGTCGTTGAACAGGCCGAGTCTCTCGTAGTGGTAGCCCTTCTCGTCGCAGACCTGGCCAAGGTTGGAGTCCTCGTGGGCACACGCCTCGACCATCGTCAATCTGCCGAAGGTCGTGAGAGCGCACATAGCTCCGAAGATGGTCGACCTCGTCGAGTGGGTAGCTGCACGAATGGCCTGACGCTGATGGCCTCTCAGTGGACGGCCCTCGTCGCTTCCCCAGCGTAGCTTCTCGGCCTGAATGTCACTCAGGTCCTCGTCCAGCTCCCGCGCGCCTGGTGGCGCCACCCGAAGGGCCTCACCTTCACGATCGGCTCGTTCTTCGCGATGCCCCGCTGCTGCTGACAGTCTGGGTGCTGGCACATCTGCGTGTAGTGCGCTGGGATCGCCGGTCCCACAACGATAGGCCCCGTCTCCACCTTCTTGGTCTCCGGCTCCTTCTTGACCCTGATCGTCGCTGCCGCCGTTCCGCGCTGCTCGACGATGTACGCGATGAGCCTGTCGATCACCTCCCCCTTCTTGCCGGACTGCGTCAGTCCCCAGGTCTTGCACAGGGGTTTCAGGTGATTGACCACCGTCACCATGTCGAGCTTCTCGTAGATCTGTTCCGAGCAGAGCGCTGCAAACGCATCCACCGTCGCATACTTGGACGAGAAATCGGACTTTGCGGTCTCGATGTTGGCCTGCAGCTCCTGGTTCTGCTCTCGCGCGGCCGCGGATGCGGCTGACCTCTGCTTCGTCTCTGTCCTGGGGCGCTGTGGCTCGATCTTCGCACGATGCCCGAGCTCCGCCGGCCAGGTCGGGTACTTCTCGGGCAGCAGCTGCACAGGGAGGCCGATGCTGTCCAGCTTCCAGGTCACCCGGTCGATCGTCTTGAGGAAGACCTTGATGATGACCCGCCCCCAGCGGCGGCACATCGTCCACTGCTTCAGGAGCTTGCTGGACCACATCTCCCAGGTCGGCAGGTGCTCCAGTAGGAAGGTGTCCGTCAGGCGCTTCAGGCTCTTGTCCAGCTCCGAGCCCTCGACCGTGTAGAATATGTTGCCCCTCGTGTCCTGATGCTGGATCAGACGAGCCGATGGCGGCATCGGCTGCGTAGGTCTCGTTGACGTCGGAGGGCGAGTCCGAGTGCCTGCATCCAGTGGCGGCACTGCTTCCCATGATCCGACCATCTCCTCGTTCTCCAGCTTCACCTGCTGGCTCTCGGCTTTGCGGCATTTCGCCTCGCGGTTGAGGCTCATGCGAATATGGAAGAAATGCTGGTTGCTGGAATCTGAGCTCTGGGCTCGGATCTATTGCGCCATAAATGGCTCTGGAAGGCGGGAGCGTTGGGGTCTGAAGCTCTGGGAACTTGGGGATCTCTGGGAGAGCCACCGTCGGTGTTCCTGATAATGTCATAGTTGGTGCAGTAGGGGACGATTATGATGATGTCCATGACGTTTGTAAGGATGATGTCCCCGTAGTCGTAGGTAATGATGACGCCCCCGTAGTCCCAAGTAATGATGATGTTCCGTGGTCGTAGGCAATGATGATGTACCTGTGGTCTGTGGGGCTCCATTGTCTGGGACCTCGTCGGGGATCTCGTGGGGTACAGCTGCAGACGGTCTAGATATCTCGCTTTGGATTGGCTGTTTCTTTTCAGGTTTTCCCTCCCTCCGGCACCGTAGCAGTCTCGGGTGTCGAGGGCGCGCACCCCTACTCGAGGGATGCCACGAAGCCAAAATCGGCTTGACGTACAAGTGGCAGCGCAAGGTGGCCGCTCGGAAGGACGAGCAGCTCAGCTCGGCGCCCGAGCTTCTTGAAGTAAACAGCGCGTGCCTCGCAGTCAATCACAGCCCCGAGGCGGCTCAGCACGTCCACTCCGATCAGGAGCGGGGCGTCTGCGTCGAGGATGTTGATCTCTAGCTCGCCGTCCACACCGGCGATCATGAGGGGAAAGGTCGCCTTGCCGGTGCAGGTCCTGGCATTGCCGTCGCCAAATATAAACGTACTCTTCTGACTAACGTTCATCTTGATGTTCTTGCCCGTCTGCTCTTAGATAATGTCGCGTAGGTTCTCGGCGGCCTCTATGCCCATGATGCCGGAGGTCGCGCCGATGTCGAGAATGCCGAAACCCTTGGAGGAGCTCTGCTTGACACTCATGAGAATCCAGTCCTCGGCCTTCTCCAGGGTAGACCAGATCGGTAGCTTCTCGTGCTGGACTCGCTCTCGCAACTCGATGGCCCTCTCGATCGGCATGTAGGAATTGTTGTCCAGCGGCTTCTTCTGGTTGGCGGTCTTCGGCCGATTCTTGATCACTGGCTTGTTGGCAAGGGACGCATCCAACCGCAGCCTGGACATCTCGTTCGCGATGAGGTTAGCTTTCATCTCGGCATCCTGCTCGGTGCCGAAGAAGACGAAAGCTCCAAACCCCTTTGTGTGTCGGTCTCGTTCGCCCCGGCTGCCAGTAGAAGATGCGCGTTCTCGATATCGATGATCCTTGGTCTCGCGGTTACCGCCGCACTTCAGACATGGCCCTTTCCTGGGAGGCCGGCCTTGGGAGCGATCTCCTGCTCGTCGGGGTGGCCCGTCACGTCGCTGTCCGCTCCCGCGGCCTCGTCCCTTAGATGACCCTGAGCCTCTGGATCCAGCCCGGGGCCCTGGCGGTTTGCGATGTCAACTTCGGTATTATCGCTTCTTGTTCTCATCCACGGGGTAGAATTTCCTGGCGGTCTTCACTCGTCTCAATAAATCGCGGGCCTCCTCGAAGCTTCTCTGCTGGGCGGCGAAAGCGGTCTCGGCTTCGGCGATCTCTTGGGTACTGTACAGCGGCTCCTCGGGGTCTCCCTCATCCTCCTCGTCGCCCTGGCCGTCGTAGGTCGCCTCGGACTCGTGCTCTTCGTAGTAGCTGTAGTCATCGTGCCCCTCGCCGTGGGCTTCCTTGCCGGCATGGATTCGCCCCCGTTCTCGGTGACGGAAGTCCTGGCCTTGCTTCTTGTCCCGATTGGTCAGCTCATCATCTGGCCAGGAAACGCGCAGCTGCTCTCCGATGCTGTCCTAGTCGAAGTTACCCTTGACTGCGCTGATGACTGCTGCCCGCTCCGTCGGTGTCAGTCTCGATCGCTGTAGCAGTAGCCATCCGCGCAGCTGGTCTAGGGGGATCGCCTGGTTGAAATCCGCCCCGAAGTCGGGATGCTCTGGGATCTCCTCAAGACCCGTCTTGACGAATCTCCAGAGCGAAGTGTTCAGCTCCTTGGCCTTTTCTGCAGCGTCCTCCAGGCCCTCCTGCTCGATCTTGTACAGGAACCAGTTGAGCTCTCCGTAGAGGTTGTTCCACTCCTTGGCTCTCTCCGAGAGTCGGGCAGTGCGCTGCTTCTTGAAATACTCGGTGTCGAACCCCTTGACCACATCATGATAGGCCTCATCGTCTCTGCTGATGTAGCTCGGCATCGGTTCCCCGGTGTCCCGTCGTAGATCAAAGATCCATCTGGCAAGATACTTCTCTGCGTCCTGGATGGGTTGAGCACCCAGCTTCTGTCGAACGTGTCTGAGCAACTCGGTAGCGCCATCGTCCTTTTCGATGCGGTCCCAGTCGACGTCCTTTGCGGCTTGTCTCGCTCGGCCTTCGAGTCGTCTCCATATTCGTGGGCCGCACACATAGCGTTCGTCTCGGCGGGTCCCTCGTATGTAGGCCTTCACATCTCTTTCGTAGCCATCCACCGCGGTGAGATCTCCATTCCACTTCGGTACGATATCGTCTCCGCTATTCTTCGCCATAGTGCGTGGAATATGTCCGTGAATATATGCCCGTGGAGCGATTGCTCCGCTACCATGCAATGGTCCCGCTGATAGACCACTGCCCTGATACAATACAGAATACTGGTCTCCCTTCTCACAAGATATCAAAGCAGGATACTAATCTCTCGTCTCTCTCGATGGCTCAAGCTTGCACCCCTGGTCAGGTCCAGGGGGCGAGGGCTCAAGCGATCGTTTTGAGCCACGTGCGACCCATCAGACGGCCGCCCGGCCAAGGTAGCACCGAGTCTCGGCCACACCAGACTCCCTTCTGCGCCATGGCTTGCAGGCATGCGGCCCGTTCGCTATTCGGCGCGCTCCCGGCTGTGGCCGACGAGCGGGGCCGATGCAGGCGCTGCGGCCAGGCGCTGCCCGGCGCCGCCGCTGCCGCCCCCGCAGCCGCCAGGCCGCCACCGCCGCCAGGGCCCCCCGCTTCAGGTGATGGTTCTGCGGCGGCCGCCACGCCGCCTGGCGGCGGGGAGGCGCTGCAGGCTGGGCGCACGACGCTGCTCCGGGAGTGGCTGGAGCAGGACGTCACGCAGCACATGCCGCTCGTCGCCGCCGCCCGGGTCAACGCATCGGACGACCTCCCAGTTGGGGTTGCCTACGGACGCCCCCGTGCTTCTTAACCTGCTCGAGAAATTGGGGTACAATTTCACGGTGGACGACGCCTGGCAGCTCTTGGGGTTTGCCCGCTTGGAAGGACCAGCCCCCTCGGAGCTCAGCATTGCACCCCGCCTCCGCTCCGCCCGGCACCTCCTATCAGCCGCGAGGGACCTCGCCGAGCCGGCTGCTCAGACGCAGCAGCTGGAGGCCTTGCGCATCAAGCTGGACGCCGCCGAGACGCGCTGCATGTCTGAGCTGGGGGGGGGCGCTGAGGACCCGTAGGAAAGTTAAGAGTCAGCGGGCAAACGTCTACCAGGAGCTGGGCTTGGACGCGGTCTCGCACATATTGAAAATCATCCCGGCCGAGTTCAAGCTTGCAACACAATTCTCGGACGCCCTCGCGATCCGAAACGACCGGCTCCTGCCAATCGCACCCGAACACTTGCGGAAACCATGGAGCGGGGCGACGCGAAATTGGTTGATTTGGCGCAGCACTCTTCGGTGGTAGTCTGGCCCCCCTCCGACTCGAACGCCCTCACCAGATGCCTGGCCGCTTACCTCCGACGCCTCGCTGCAGTACCAGAGCCGCCCAAGGTGATCATGATCACACCCATCCCCAACATCACTGGCGAACTCAGCGTGGACGGGATCACGGATCTTTGGAGTTCCTCGATACTTTCGGCTACGTGGACCGTGTTCGCCAAGGAGGTGGTGCACATCCCGTTCCCCTTCGAGCTGCTCTCCACGGCCAGCAATGGCACGCCGAGGCACTTCAGGGAGGGCCTGGGCATGTTCTCCCTCCGCCAGAACGGTCCCGTGAGTCCCCCACGCATGCTCAAGGTCGACGCGCTCTTCGCAGTTCCGGGGCACCAGGTCGTCGTCGTCGACATGCGCATCAATTTATTGACGGACTTCTTGCAGTATTTGCGTGCGCACATACGTTCAGGGATCTCCTACCGCTTCCACAAGCGCAGTGCCGCTAGCACGACCGAGTGCCCACGGATCACAGTGGAGCTCATCATGGAGGGGGACGCGACTGACATCGAGAGCATGGCGATTATGAAGAGCTCCGCCGGCAGCACCTGCCCCCGGACACGTTCTACGCTTTCAAAAGCATCGTGGGAGCCCGGGATTCGTTGATCCTCGAGTTCGGCAGCCCCGCCTCCCTCATCTCGTTGTGGCCGTTTTGCTCCCAGCTCTACGTCCTCGACCGTTCTCGGGCGCTGCTCTTCACGGAGGCGGCTGCCGACACTTGGAAGGACAAGATGGACGAGCTCTTCCGTCTGGGCGCTGCTGGGGCTGCGTCCCGGCTGCGCTGCCGGCCCTCTTCCCACGGAGGTCGGACAATCGCGACCCCTGGAGCCACCGCGACCCAGCTCGGTGCGCAAAAACGGAGGGGTGGGCGAGCGACGTCGGCAGCGGATTGCATCGCTGAGATCACCCCCAGAGGCGACCTCGGTAAGGACGATTCTCTCGTGCTGGACAAGCTCATGCAGCAAGCAGCCCAGCACGCGGGCCTCAACATCACCCGGGCGGCGGACCCCGACCATCCGCGGGCGGGCGAGTACATGCACGTGCTGATCCGCACCCCTGCCTCGCCTTCGGGATCAGTCCGGGCACTGGTGAAGAGCCAGGAGGAGATCCGCAAGATCTACGCGGCCCTCCATGGCCAGTCCATCCTGGTTGGCCATGAGCACGTGGTGATGGAGGTCCGGAACGACTTGGTGGAGGTCCAGATCCAGCGGGGGGGGGGCCCGAGGGCGAGGCTGTCGGTGCCGACCCCATCCTCGACTCCTTGAGGCACCGTGCTAACACTTGGGTTGGAATTCATTGCATTGACACCAGTGGCGCCCAGGTCTTTGCCACGCACGTCGCCTTTCGGATCCACTCCGAGGTCGCCTCGGGGCCGGTCGGTTCTGGCCGCGCGGCGTGGGCGAGCTCCCCGGGCACCGCTTCCACTACCAGGTCTTCTACCTCTCCTGCTTCCCGCTCTCGCTCTCGTCCCTACGAGCCGTGCCCGCGCAGACCACGTGAGGGCGGCGTTGGGGACGTTCACCACCATCCTCGGGCACCCCACCGAGCTGAACTTCGCGTTCCTCTAGCTGCCGATATTCACCTACGCCCCCCCCTCCCGCCTCTGATATTGCCCAAGCATGTCGACCTGCTCGCGGAACGGGCGGCGCACCATTCTCGCCAAGACGTACCACCGCAAATACGTATCCAGCCCCATCTTCATCGAGCCTTGGGGCTACTTCCTGAGAACATCGCTCCCCCTCGGCTGCGAGATCTGGATCCCCCGGCCGCGCCCATGCGGCCCTTGAGAGATGGCCAATGCACGGGCGACGTCGCGGTCACCACTTGGAACGCGCAGGCCCTGTTCGCCTCGAACCCGGACGGCAAGGCCTCAAGGCGGCTTACGTGCACCGCTTGATGCTCAAAACAGACATCCCCCTGGTCACCGAGACGCATGGGACGGAGACGGGCAACGCCATTTGGCGCCCTCCACCCGGCCGTTCTGCATGGTGGTCACAAGGTCCGACGGCTGGTCACTCAGGAGTCGGTTTCGTGATTAAGGACGACTTCCTCCGTAACTTCGAGCAGCCGCCGCGCTTGCACCACATATGGCGGGGCCGCGCCGCCAAGCTATGCCTTCGGGGCTCTCAGGGGGCATTGGATTTGATTGCGGCTTATTTCCCAGCTGGCTCCCACGCCAACCCGTCCGACACCGACCTGGCAGGCATCCCGCGCAGACACCGGGCCGGCTTGACCAATTTCCCGGCCATGCGCGCGCACATGCGGCAGCTGCTGGCGAACACCGTGAAGGACAGGAGCCGCTGCCTGACCGCGCTCGGGGGGGACTTCAACTACGTCGCACAGGATGCGGACAGAGTCTCGCTGGCGACAGCCGTGGATTCCGGTCGTCGGGATGGCCGGGAAGAAGCTCACTTCCAGGCCGCGGTGGCGTCGAGACATGGCTTGTTCGAGATGTTCCAAGGGGACTTCACTCACTCCTCGGCCACAGCCCGTTCGCGGCTGGACCGGATATACTTCAACCACGACGTGGCCGAGCAACTGGACCGCCGCATCACGGCCACGGACCTCGAATGGTGCTTGGACCTATCCCACCATCGCGCTGTTCGTGCAGCACGTCTTGCGCCAGCCCGAGCAGACGACCCAGACCGCCCCCTCGCACAACGAGCATTCTTGCATAAGGACTTCCCGAGGCGCTTGATGCTGGAGTTCAACGAGGCGTTAAAGGATAACCCCGAGGCTTCGCCGTTTCAGCAGCTCGCTTTGCACAAGTCGTCGATACGACGGGTCGCACGCAGGCTGGAAAACGACTTCAAGGCCATCCCTGTTGCACAGGATGCGGAGGACAAGCTGGGGGTTGTGCTGAAAACGATCCGGGCGATCGAGGGCGGTCGGCCTTCGGAGGTTACCATATGCCTTACCAGGTTCCCTGATATCCTACACCACGTCGCGAACCCATACGACTTCGACGGCAACTTGTCCCAGAAGCTATCGCGACTACGCCAATTCGCTGTACAACTCGCTCGGGGCCATGCCGTGGAAGAGCTTCGGAGCTCCCTGGACGACCTCACTGGCGAGGACGCTTTCAAAGCCCAGGTTGCACGTCAGAGAAACAATCGCTTGATTTTCCGTCTCGCCCCTGGCCGGGGCAGTTCGCTGAGCGCCATTCTGAAGGACGACGGCGAGGTAACCGCGGACTCTCAGGACATGGCACGCCCCCTAGGCGCACATTGGTCCCAGACCTTCCGGGCGCAGGGTATCAACGAGGAGTTGCTGGACCAGTGGCTGGAGGACGACGCAGACACCAGACCTCTCGCGGACCTGGCCAACACGCGGCTGACCCGGGTACGCCTCCGGAAGTCGCACTTTGCCCATGCCCTCAAGACCTCGAGCAACACGTCCCCAGGCCCCGACGGAATCCCTTTCCTGGCTTGGCGCCGTTGCGCTAAGGTCTCAGCGTCCTTATTGTTCAACGCGGCGCACTACATCCACGGAAACGGCGAGACGGGCCTCACCAAGGAGGAAGCCAAGGAGTACAACACCAGCCTGATGTTCCTCCTCCCCAAAAAGCCAGCTGGCACTCTACCGACTGGGGATGGCTACTTCACGCCTGCGGAGACCAGGCCCCTGAGCGTGGCGAACACGGACAATCGACTCATCTCGAACGCCGTCCGTTCCGCCATTGAGCCAGCGGTCAGCCGGGGTATCCTGGAGATTCAACGAGGTTTCCTCGGTGGCCGTTCCATGCCGGCCAATCTTGTGGACATGGAGGAGGCGATGCTCCGAGCAGCGCTCAGCAGCTCAACGGGGGGAGCCCTGCTGTTCGACTTCGCGGCGGCGTTCCC